ACAACCGTATATTTAAACGAAAAACAACGTTAATTTTCTCTATAAAGATTTAAGTTTTTGTTGTAATTTAAAAAATATTTGATCGTGTATTAAACGTTTTTCCATTGGGTACTTATAGGTATATATATTTTTATTTTCTATGCACAATTACATTTTTAAAATATTTAAGCCAATTTTATGATATTAATACCATGCACTAGCTGTTTCACGGTACATCGCTTTATGTCGATACTAAGATGAGTTACAATTTTTTTTAAATTTAACTAATGTAACACATTATAATTTATTTATTACAAACATTTATATAGGCTCTAATGATTAATGATGATTGACGAAGTACACTTTAAAATCCAAATCTACTATACAGCAGTGCGCGAATTTTTAGATTTCTTAATGATCATTTTGTCCAATAACTGAAGACGCCTAGAAGTTTTTTTCGGAAAAACTTGAAGAATTTATTTTTTGAGATTTGTTTATGATATTTATTAAGATCAGTCCATTAAGCTTCTCCTTGGCCCATTATTGTTCGTATAATTTAGAATTAAGAATTTAAGAGTCTTCACAAAACATTTTAATTTGTAATAAAATATGTGTATTGTAGTGGTTATAGTGGTTACATAATATATTATTAACTAACTGGCATGATTTCGTTCAAGTCGTCTAACGTGGGATTTTCGACGACACCCACGCGATCGTCGTTGATGGCAGGCACGACTGGTGGTGATAAAAGTTTCCTGTAGCAAATTCCTGGAAAACTCAGGTCCAGTATAATGGAGTTATACACTGCTAGGCCCATCAGCACACCAATGAGATTGTATTCGCGGAGGTTCGTATGGTCTGTTTGCCCGGTGCTGAACCAGTAGCATCGAGAGTGCGAGTAATACACGAACATGCCGTATTCGGCATGAAATATCTCGCGAATCAGAAGTAAAAACCATTCCTTTGTCAGACCACCCATGTCCAGCCCTGGTTCACCGGCGAATGTCACTTTTAACTTTTTCTTTAAGTCTTTCTGTTTGAAAGCAATCTGAAACAGAGCCATTATTTAAGTATACCTATACTTATAATAAGTTAATAATAATTAACAGTTTTTGTATTAAATATGTTCTTTTATATATACAGGGTGATCTATTTAGGAGGGTACACTAATTATCTCAAAAAGTATGCATCGCGATCCACCTATTACTTAAACTAAAAAATAAAATTTAATAATTTAGCTGAAATATAAATAGGAAGTTCGATATTATCCTTGATTAGTGGCTTGTAAAATATGATTACTACGTCCACAACAAGTAGGTATAATATAATCACTAGATCCATTTTAACAAAAAATCAATTAATTTTGTTATAATCATTTATCAATAGCTTTTTACTTTCTTGATTTCTTCTTGTTAATTTTTTATGTATAGACAAAATAGTTTTGGAAGCATTCAATAAGTTAAAAAATTAAATAACAAACCAACATGTCTGTACTTTGATACAGTCATCCTGATTTCTGGGACCTGGGTATCTTGAAATTTCGGCGTGATTTGAAATAGTCTAATTTTTTTTATCAAATAATTGTATATGTCTACTACCGAATATTGGTATTAAGCGAACCGTTCTTGGATTAAAATGTTCGTTATTGTTATGTATTTGTGATACTATATATTCTCATAATTATTATATCAGATGTGTTTTCTCTCCAAATGGACATTTTTTTTTAAATCTTAAAACGTATTTCCATTTGGCAATTACCATAAAAAGTGTTCTGGATTAGTATGAAGCATATCAAAATGCAGTGGAACCTCGATAACTCGAACCTCTATAAGTCGAATTCTTAATAATTCAAAGCAATGGCTTGGCCCAGGCTTTACAATATATGATATGTGTGATATATTTTCTCAATAATTCGAATTTCACTAACTCGAATTTCTCTGAGTCGAAATATTTTTAGTCGAATTTATATAATAATATATGTACATATTAAATTGGAGATGAGATATTCTCCGCGCTAAACGTTATTGAAAACTTTACAGATAGGTCAAACAATAAAAAACACTAAAAAATATCTGATTTCTTTAAAAAATAGTTCAACTTTATTTATTATTACATTGTATTTTCTTTTTTACATACAATTTATACATACGACATACATATTTATTACTTTTTTATAGAATACTTTTTTTTTAAATTTTAATACAATATTCATACCTACATACATTATACATTTATTAGTAAATATATACATGAATAAATAAAATTATAAAATGAAGTAACTATTTGTATTTTCATTTGAAATGAAGTGAAATGAAAATACAAATATGTAGGTACTTCATTTTATAATTTCATTTATTCATGTACATATTTACTAATAAATGTATAATGTATGAAGGATTCGAGTTATCGAGGTTTTCCGTAAGTCGAATTTTCGACAACTCGAATTTTTTTTCGTCCCCCACCGATTCGAGTTATAGAGGTTCCACTGTATAAGGTCTGTAAATTTTTATATTTTTGAGCGTATCTAGTTCAAAAGAATATTAATTATTCAATAGAAAGTATAAAAATTATATTTCGTTTTAGATCATCAGTAACATTGAAAAAAACCCAAAAGTGTCTTGTCACTAAGGAAGTTATTTATTTTTTCAATTACCTACTTGTTTTTATTATGATTGAATATTTACTTTAATTTTCATTAAGTTTATTTTTAAGCTTATTTATAAGTTAAATTGTTCAACCAAAGGTCCAAAGAAGTATTTAAATATTTTATGTTATTATATATATTAAAAGTAGGTACTGGATTTTATATTATTTCTTAAAAAAGTTGCATTTCTTATACATACATTTTTTATAAGATATCAAGTTTTTCTTGCCATTTTAGGGCAACCTTACGTGACAACGAATTTGTTTTTACAGGTACTTACTAGTGATTTTTTTGGATAAAAAAAAAATAGACAATGGTATATTTAATACAAATTACTGCAAAGAATGCCGTCTGCAGTGCAATTAAAGATTTCCTCTGCTTTGACCCAGAAATATAATTAATATCAAATGAGGTTGTATGTTGTATTTATTTAAAAGTTGGTGATTGTTAATTACTTATAGTTTATACCCATTTACCTTTTTTTATAATTTGGGGTACTATTTAGTACTTAGACCATATATTATAAATAGATACTCTTAAAATAAATTGTGGTAAAAAATATAAAATTATAATTAATAATAATTATTTCAAGGCTAAACAAGGCGCATGAAGCAATTTTTTTTAACAAGGAAAGAACATACTTTGATTATTTTCCGGACTCTGGTAATTTGCAACATATAGATACGGACATACCTACGTCGGAAATACAAGTTTAAACAACCGAAACAAAATAAAAACGTAAAAAAAATAATAATTGCAGCAATAGGAGTAAGCGTATAGTATAGGTCATCATAATATATATTCAGCTTAAAATGTTTAGTTAAACAAACTCTTTATTTATTATAGGAGTCAAGATCTTAAATGATTACGAATTTGCACTCTTTTACTATTTACAAAAAGCATTTGAAAACAAACAATAGTTGAAACATTTTAATAACTTTAATTTTTGTCAATGAATAAAGTGAATATTTTATACCTACATTACATAATATTATATGGTATGAGCATGATTACATTTACTGTTAAATAGTTATATTTTTAGTTTTTAATTTTTACAGAGCTTATGAGGCATGACTATGATACAAGGGGGTGTTTCCTCAAAATGGCAACTGGAAAGATTTTTAAAAAAGGAATAGAGATGGATAATATTTTATCGAGATTTGTACGAGAAGAGTTTAGTATTTTAATGATACACATATTGTACTTGTTTTTACCTCATTTAATGAATCCTGTACCAAATGTGATCTTCTGACGTTTATATTTAAAAAGAATATATCGATATTAGGCGTCTGCCTTCTTGCAACCTTAGATACCAATGATTTTCTAGCATTTAAAATCATTTGCTGTTCTGAATCTTTAGTAAGTATGATCCTCTTTGCAACAATGCTCAGAATAAATGGATATTGGCAATAAGAAAAACATTCGTACGGTCCAAAACTTTGCCAATTGTAATAATCACGCATTAGATCAATGTGATCCAAAGCAGAATTATATAATTCAGTAAAATGTAATAGTTCGGGTCCTAGTTTGTTGGCTGCACCTGGAATACATTTCAAGTAACTCTAAATATTGTGAAGTAATTAATTAAATATTTTTATGGTTTATCAATTATTATTTTTAATTGTCAGTAAAACTTCGGATAAGCGCGAATCAAACTTACTTATCAATGCTAAATTTTTTGTCGCTGATGGTATCCACCAAAGAGTCTTTCCTAAAGGTGGTAGAGACTTGTCATTTGGAGAAAATTGCCGTAATGTTATAAATTGCATAATATATCGTATTAATGACCTTAATTTGTCCAGTTCCAATCTTGAACATAAAAATTCAATAAATTAGCTGAAACAAATCTTATGTAGGTATTATTAAAAAAAAAATTTTGTTAGGAGGTTGAATCAAAATATAGTATATACATTGCTTAATAAAATAAATGCACGCTTATATTATCTGGTACTTCAATTGAATCACATTTCATGAATTTAATTAAATTATTATGTATTTTTTGTTTTTAAAGAATATTTTAAAAATACATAAGCAATTTGTAGATTTAAAAATAAATAACTCTGACCCATTGAAAAACCAAAATTAAATTTTTATTTGTAGCTTGAACATAACATTTTAAATTAAACATGCACTATGCCATATTTATGAAAAAATCCAATATACGTATATAGTAATCTTCAATTATTAGAATGGAAAATAACACTCATATTCATGTATGATATACTAAATAAACATATATATTATATAGGTGCATACTTTTCCTATATAATATATTATACGTATCTCTAAATATAGACTTAAGCCTTATTAAGGTCATTCAAAAGTATACATTTTTAATAACACATTGAATCTATGTATTTATTATTTTCCACGACAGCTATAATTTTATTTTCATTTATCAATTTTATAATTTTAAATACCTAAACACCAATATTGTATACACCATTTCTTCACTACCGCATTGCATAATATTGCTGACAACGCATTTTACCGAATGCCTACTTATATCCCTACGTAGACTATTAATATTACCTATCATTCATTTCTGACACAGTCTGACATTTGACATACAATTAGACAGTAAATTAGTTTAAAGTGTCATCATGAAATTTTTATTGTGTTTTGCTTTAGTTTGGGCCGTGGCAATAGCCAAACCAATGGATGAAGCCAAAAAATCAGAACAACTATCTAGCACCAAAAACGAGACTGTAATTTCGTACCACAGAGTAGAGCGTGATGATAAAATATCTCCAATAGTTCAGGCTTCTCCCGAATCAAACGAGAATAATGAATCAAAAACTGACGAAACAAAATCTGCAGATGACAAACAAAGGTAATTATTACTAAACATAAAATTTAATAAATTTGATTTAGTTATATTTGGTACGTAAATGTCGCAGTGTATAGGTAAAATTATAATCATTAAAATGTATAAATTTTAGTATAAAATTAATACATTGACATTATATATTAAATAACTGCACTTATAGTATTTAACAATTTGTTCATTTAGAAAATAGTTACATAATATATTATCTACTTTTATTTTATAAAGTCTCTATTTACTTGATTTTTGGAATATAGTGGACATTTATTTTATTAATAATTTTTTTTGTGCATAGGCACAAAGTGTGTTTGAGATTTTTATTTTATGGTAGGGGGGGGGGTTGATGTTTATGTAGATATGAGAATAATTGTTCATATTTCTTATATATTCCTATGAGGTGTAAAATCTTCAGGTTTTTGGTGGGGTTTTAACTGTTAGGAGGGGGCTTAGTTCTTCAGCTGCCCACTATTTGTTCATATAATTATACGATATATATATAATTTATGCGGTAATACACATATACGCTCATATTACCATATTATATGGTGTACCTACATTAAATATAATAAACACTAACAATATCATATCTTCCGAAAAGAAGCAAGAAAAATATAATATAGTTACAAAATATAAGTATTAACATTGAGTATATAATATAATGCATATTATACTCGATGGTATTAATTATTTGAACAAAACTCAATTAGAGATATTTGGATATTAGGAATTTCAATATAAATATATATTATACATTTCTTAATTGAGTTTGGTTATACTAATTTATAATAATTAATAAGTACATATTATTACATTAAATATATATATATATAATATATATATAGTCAGTGTTAGGTATCTTCGATAAATAAAAAAATATCTTAAATACGTTTCTTGCATCTTGTATACCGATACAGTTATAAGAAGTATCGAGTATTTAAAAAAAAAATGTTATCGAAAGATACTTGATACATTAAAGCGATACTTTGAAACATTAATTTGATATTATACTCAGGTTAGGGTCGTATGGCCACCCTAGTACCCTACTATAAAGGTATAGGAGGTATTTAATCGCGGTTGATAAAAATATATGTTTAAATTTAAGTGAGTACTTAATCGGTAATCATCCTATTAATAAACAACTTTTTTATACCTTTCTACACCAGATTGTGCTCTTCGGCACCTGTCGAACGTATGTTTTCGTCTGCGGGATTTATAAATAAATAATAATCATAAAAACAACAAATTGTCTGATCATATTTTTAAAAGGAAATAAGTTATAGGCATACACAATCAAATAAATGAATAAACCTGATCATCATTATTATACATTAATAACATACCAAAATTGCCATAATTCAATATATATATATGTTCTGCAGTGGTAATGTGGTAAAATAGTTATATAATAATGGTATAATAGAAGTGGTAAGTATAGTAGGTAGGTACTTACTAATACTAGTATAAGACTAGTAGTTAAGTTATTGTCTGTAATTTATGCTAACTATCTAAACATTTATATACCTACATAAGTAATAATTATTAATTGTGTTGTAGAATATTTTATTATTACTTTTAAGTTATTTACTGTAATCTGTAATCTATATTAACTATGTATTTAAATATATAAAATGTTTACAAATGTAAATTTTAAAAAACCATTACTAATTAATGTATAGACTATTGAATAATGAGTACCCATCTATCTAAATACTTTTAATGTATTGAGTAGATAATATCTAAAAATCTACTAGATATCTAGTATCGGTATACTCCATAGACAAGACGTATCTAGTACCTACCATGGCGATACCTCACTGATTTTTAAGTATCTTAATTGCCTATCCTTGCCTATAGTTATCATCTATAATACACCACTTTTGTAGTATGTATAAATATTAAATATATATTATGTATATTATATTATAATTTATAGGTACCTATAGAATTCCTAATTATTTTTAGTTAAATTCATTATTAATTATATTTAAAAATATTTTCAGACTTTCATATGATTCTACCACCAACCAGGTTAATCCATCTGCGTACTCATCTCAATTAACTAGCATTCATAAAGCTGACTCAAGTTATCCAGTAAACTCGGATAATGAGCAATACAGATCAGTTGGTTCTGCGTATCCTTTGGAAGGATCGTATGGTCCATTAGAATCTCCGGGATTAGTATCTTCTTCATATCCATTTATGTCATACGGGTTAAGGCCGGGATCATATGGATATTCAGGGTCAAATGGATTATCAGGATCAAATTATGGACTGTCTGGATCATATGGGTCATCAGAACTATGGGGTTCAAACTCAGTTGTTCCAACATCTTATTCTAGTTCTATACCTTGTCAAGGTGGCATTGCCCAACAAGTAATCCATAAGCCCGTTGTAACAGAATTACAAGAAGTTATTCACAAACCAATAATTACAGAAGTACAAGAAATTGTGAACAAACCCGTTTTCTCGGAAGTCCAACAAGTCATACATAAACCACTTTTCACTGAACATATTGGTCTCGGTCCATCTTACCACGGATATCAAAAACACATTGTTAACCAACCCATCTACCATAAGCCCACTAAACATTTTATTCGTCAACCAATGTCTCATGCGGCAACCATTCATTTAGCTGATGAATATGAACAGCATGTCAGTAATGGTCACAGCATTTGTGAACCAGAGATTGGCTCTTCATACGGTTTTATGGGATCATCGTTTCCTAATACATATGGGCCAGGAGTCAACGTTCCACAACCAAGTGGACAGTACAAATCAGTAACGTCCAGGAATAGTGTAATACCTTATGAACCGGTTTATTCATCAGGTATATCTACACCGGATTTATTGAATTACTCTAAATTACGTGTTTCAACTCCAAACCGTTACCCTCCAATGTCCTCCGCTCAAGATTTTTACAAATACGCCGCTCCCGGTTCAATCGGCTACTCTACTCCGACTTCTCCATTTAGCTATTCGTCATTGCCGTCATATAATGAATTAGGATCAATAAGTCGTGGAACACCTTATGGGCAACAGATTGCAACTTTCAATACTGGTAATAATGGACCTTACAGAAGTATAAAAGAAAGTTCACAAGCTAAAGCTGCAGAACAGATTATGTACGATAAGTTCCTGCCATATACACAACAATTAAATGGCAACCAACAATATCATGATAACCAGCAGTTTCAACAACAATTCTCAGGATTCCCACAAGGGGGAAGGAGCAACGAAGAGCCAAAACAAATTAAAATGGATGTAGACGCTATTGCCAAGCAAATTGAGAAGAACCCTGAAATGAGGAAACAATTAATAAAAATAATAACAGAGAGTATTTACGTTGGTGACCAAATGACACAATCCAATAAGAAGCAACAAGATACAAAAATGCCATCATTGCCACTAGTATAAAATGATACAACTGATGTTTATAATTAAGGAAAACGACTATTTTGATTATTTATAAAAAAATAAATAAATAATTGACCACATTTTAATACTATTTTTTTAATCCTAATATTAAGATTTAATTAAAATTTTAAGTAGGTATAGATTGAGAAAAAGATACTTACATTCTGAACCAATGTACCAATAGTTGGTGATCATCTTTGCTTAATTGAGCAATATAGTTTAATAAATGTGCAAATATTGGAGCACTTGATTGAGTTCCAAAAACTGGACATTGTAGTAATACAAATAAAGCTCTAACTTCATCTTTCTCATAAAGACTGAACAAAAATAAGTACATATTTTATTTAATATTAAAGTAAATACAAATTTAAAAACAGATTTGTATCAACATATTTATTATACAATAGATAAACATTATTGGTGAAGCTAGAAAGGCACAGGAGGGTTAAGCCACCTCTAATATAAAATTGGCACACCACAGTTAATTTTAATATTAAAAATGTAAGATATATTTTATTCATTTGAATAAAAAATAGCTTTTTAGAAAATAGAGCCAAGGCTTCAGCCACTCAACATATGTTTATCGGACTCCGTTTATGATAGGTAATAATTAGGCATACCTACGTGCATATTGATTTAACACAAAGAACTATTCTTTTTTATTTCATAATTAGCTATTTTCATAAAATATAAATTATTTTAACAAGAACTGTGGGTATAAAAATGATAAGAGAGGCGCTTTTATAATATATAATAACTATGGAGGTATGTGAATATGTGATACTATATATTTATTTATAATACAGTATAGGTATGTAAATTCTCACTTTTTATTCTTTTCTAGCAATGCATTTATAATGGACTTTAAAACTGTTTTATGTATTCCACTTGACTGTAATAATTAAATAATTTACAATTTGAAGATTGAACTATTGACCTAAAGGCTTTAATTAGATATAATACCAAGTCTTTGAGGGCATCATTTATAGCGTAGACAAATTCTAAATGAAGATCAGGGTCATCTAGTTTAGCTCCAGATTGATTTGGATTAATCTGAAAATTATAAATAGGCACAGTAAAAAAATCACTTTAAATCCTATAAATGTATAATATAAATAAAGATAATAGATACCTACCTTAAAAAGTGCACAGATCTCGCTAAATGAATCGAACAACCTCGTATAAAAACGCTGAACGGTCATATAATTTTCATTTTTATGAGCTTTTCGTACTTCTTGTCTAAAGTATAATGTTTTCATTCAGTAGGTATCATATACATAAATAGATTTAATGTTCTACATTAACACTTTCAGCTAGTATACTGACGTACCTATCAATAAATTGCTTTGGATTAACAAATGAAAAAAAAATTAAACTCACAAAAATTCTTCTCTTGTTTCGTGTCTAGTTGGATATTGAGGTTTAGATTCTATTTGGAGATTTTTTTGAATGTTTCTACAGCTCTGATCAATTGGATTTTGATTATTAATATTAGGTATGGTTGGTCTATATGTAAGAAACTGGTTTGAATTACTCTGAAAATAGAATTTATGGTATCTATATACTTCAATTCTTCTTATATAATACTATAAGCTGATCATGTACATTAAATATTATAACAATAATTGTATTAAACTATGTTACAAGAATGAAGAGCTTATTAAAAAATATACAGGTTGGTTATTTTGATATTGCATTCGTAAAGCTACATAAAAACTAAAAAGTATTAACGTTTATGAAAATATTTTTTATGTAATTTTTTAGTCATTATATAATATACAACATTTTCGAAAAACGTTAATGCTTTTGTCCTTACTCTTAAGAGATTTTTAAAGAACAATTTGAATTAAATTGAATATGTGGCTATCCAGTTTATTAGATTTACATTAAAATATTTATAAGAACTTACAATTGGAGGGAGTCTAGAATATCCAGATACTGTAGGATCGCTGCATGATCTTTGACTTCTGGCTAAAATCGGGCTATCTTCATGACCGCAAAAAGGGCATGGACTAAGGCGGTCCCCCCAATGATCTTCTGTTTCTTCACAAGATTCTATCTAAAAGTTAAATTTACATTTTTAGAACAAACTACTTCCTATTAATAAATCTGAACATTTTAATTATTAATAACATTAAATCCATCGTATCAATTCGGTGGTGGATTTATATGGGGGAGGGGAACGGATGAAGAATCCACAGCTCTTTGTATTTACCTTTTTTTTTTAAATTATTGTCCAGCGGTATATAATATCAAAGCTACTTACTGAACAATAATATCACAATATTGTAGTTCGTGATTAAAGAATTCACTGTTTATCATTTATCCTATTATAAGAAGTAGTTTCATCAGAAAATGTGGCCAATTTATTTGTTTACAAATGGACTTTAAATAAGTATTCAGCTACAAGTTCTAAGCTAGATTTATTAAGTACGATGATGAATATCAAAAATGTAAAATGATTTGTTAGAAGCTTTAAAGCCGTGCATAAAAGTAAGGTAACAACATTTAAAATTTAGTTTCAAAATGCAGCTCAAAAATGGAAGTATTTAATGAAATATGAATAATTAAAAGTTCCTCAGTTATTTGTGATCATCAAACTCAAAAGACTAATGGAGTAATATAAATGTGTACAGCAAAAGCTAGCAGCTTAAATGTATAGAATGATTTTAATTAATTATTTTTAGAGTACTGTCAAAACTCTTTATAACGAAACTCTTTACAACGAAAAACTCTATATAACGTAAATATTACATAATAATGGTTGGTTTGCTATATAACCCATTAGACAATTCATTCTCTATAACGTATTAGTCACTCTCAATAACGAAACAATATTTTATGTTTCATAATACAATTTACGTGTTATCGTATCTATTACATATATAAACTATAAAAATAATCGGCAATAATGCCGAATAAAAAAGTCCAAACAAAGATGACAGACTATTTTAAATAAGGTATAAATATGTATAGTATAAAAATTAAATTATATTTAATAAGTATGTATAATAATAATAATAATAATTTAATATAATACGTAAATATATATAAAATAATGTAAAAATAATGATGTGTTTGATATATAATATTACATAGGTACATACCTTTATACATAAATAATTAAAATTTTGTTTTTTTTTAAACCTTCTCTATTACGAAAACTCTCTATAACGAAAGAAATCTCTTGGTCCCTTCAGATTCGTTATAAAGAGTTTTGACTGTATATTAATCAAGAACCAATAAAAATGTATATTCAATGAACATTTTTTCTAATGTTATTCTTGAAGGTCTCTTTCTAGCCAAAAAAAATGTGTTTGATACTGAACTATATTATATTCTACAATGTCTTTTGTTCAAGAATTTTACTCGCCCCGAGATTATATTTTATTTTATTTTCATAAATTGAGGATAAAGTACCCAATGGACATTATATGAGCAGTTAGTATCCATGGGACCCACCATAAAAAATCCTAGATTCACACCTGTATCAATTGGGTACAGTAGGTGTAACTCATAAAATAGCTAGGAATACAAAAATTATTATCTAATTATCTAAAGAAATAAAATATCTACTTACGTTTTTTGAATGCAAATGATCTCTAATGGGAGATCTACTAACGCAAGGCACTACGGCAAAAGTCAAAGTCCTGTTGAGGAAAGACTTCCTTACTTTTTCCCAAAGCCAAGTCATCCGAAATCATTAAAAAAATTGTTAAGCACGGTTGTATTTTGAACTATATAACAACGAGACAATCTTGGATGTCCCTTTTTATTGCGGACATTATACCTACTATGTGTTTTACATACGTGTGTCATGACAACCGTACTTACTACGCATACGAGGTCCGTGTTTTAAAAAAATATTTGACACATTTGAGTATATATATATATACACACAGACATACATTATTAATTGTACACCTATATAACGTGTAGATATATAGATTTGAAAACTTGGTTCAAGGACGAGATATTGATTTTAAATTGTTAATTTAAACCTTTCAACATTTATTTATTTAAATTATTTACGGACATTTAGCCCAATTACTGCATGTATTTTTAAGATTGCATAACATATACGTTTCATGCAAGTTTCATTTGAAAAAATTCCATAAGTTCATAGAATTAATAAGGTGTACAACTGTATTATGTAAGATATAACGATCAACGGTCAAAAGTATGTGATGTCTATACAAAAAAAAAATATTAAATATTACAGTGGTAGGTACTAAATTGTTATAGAACGCAATGCAGAACCTGGTCTGTATATTTTTTTTTCATACATATTATTATTTATTAATTAGATTGGTGACTTAAAAAATCTTATTCTATTCACAGAGAAAATTTCAAAATATTTAGACAGATTTTAAGCTACCAATAGACAATAACTACCAATAGTTTTATATTTCCAAGTTTTTTTAGTTTTTTTAGACATAGTTATTTTGCTCGCGTGTCTAAAAGCTTGAATATGCCACATATAGTATTTTTTTATGAGTTTTTATCGACAGTAATTTGCAACAATCTTACAAAATTAGAGAAATTTCTCATAGTTTGAATATGTATACCATGTATAAACAATTATAAAATATTCGAGTAGGTCAACATTTCAAGTGTCTACGGTTTTTAAATTACAACAAAATATCATAAACCAATTTTTTCCCGACGTTTTCAAAAACTACTGGGAATTTTATTAATTACCCCGGATGCTCCAACTAAATTCACTTTTCTATTAAAAAAGATGCTGATGTCGAAAATCATTTTAACTAGGTATCCCAAGTCTCCAAATGTTGATGACAAAAAAAAAACACAAAATTGTAATATAAATTTTCATTGTAACGAAGCGGACAAGTGGGTTGTGGGTCCAACAGGTTTCGGATCACTGTAATGAATATGTTAAATTTGAATTAAATTATAAGAATATCAATGTATAGTGTATACGGAATACAATTCTGAGTAAAGACTGTCTGCGAGCCTAAAAGTAGTAAAAGTATATTTAATGATATTGTTATTAAAGTTCATTTAATTGTTATCGAAAATATTGCACTCATTATAATAATATTGTATA